AGTACAAAAAAGATACATAGATCAATAGAACAGAACTGAAAACACATATGTAAACCCGTCCATATACAATCAACTGACTTTTGACAAAGGGCCAAAACATTAGCTGCAGAAGAGATAGTTGCTTCAACAAATTATTCAGGCAAAACTAGAAAAACATTTCCAGAAGAAGTTACTACGACCCATATCTCAAACCATATACAAAAACAAACTCAATGTAGATGAAAAGACCTAAATATAAAGTGTGAAAGGGATCACATTAGAAGGTTCTGGATAGAGTGGGGGGGAAATGTGGAACAAAACTCAAAGTTATAATTTAGAAAGACTGAGCTTAGTGGACAGAAAGAAACTGAAGGAAAACAAAGACTATGGCCCCTCAACTACCCTTTAGGTGTGGAAAGAAATTCACCCTCCTAGCTTAATTTTTAGTCAAGCAGTAGATGGATATACAGGGAGACAACAACACTAGTACGGTATGTTCACTATGGAATGGTCAGTCATTCAAAATCAAAAGGATGACATTTACCTAAGGACAAAGTTGAGAAGAGATGGGAAGGTGAGTGGAATGGAAATATGAGCCACAGAGAGGAAGTGAGATGACTGTTTTTACATGGAAGGGATTATAATCACTGATATGAAACAAGTGTATCATTTGTTGAATGAAAAACTGATGATCTTGCCTGTACAACTTCACTCAATTCACAATAAAACATTAATTTTTTTTTTTTTTTTTTAAAGCTGGAAAGCATGGGATAGCAAGTAACAGCAATCTATGGCTGGGATTGAGTAAGGACATATAGAGAGACTCTGTGAGGTGCAGGCTTACAGGAAATGCCTAAAGTAGAGAAGAGCAAATCATTAAGAAAAACTCTTATAAACCATGCCCCACTCTAATTAAAAGGGAATACTAGAGGAATGAGAAGCCAGTGGTACACTGAAGATAATCGTAGCAAGTAAAAAAAAAAAAAAAAAAATCAACCCCAACTCAACTCCTCTGACTAATTCAACTTGCTGTTGTTGTCAGGTGCCATCAAGTCGGAACCGACTCATAGAGACCCCATGCACAGCAGAACGAAACAAAGTCCGATCCTGGGCCAACCTCACTACCGCTGCCACACTTGAGTCCATCAATGATGCCACCTGGCTGATCCATCTCGTTAGGGGTCTTCCTCTTTTTCTCTGACCCTCCACCCTACTCAGTATGACATCCTTCTCCAACGATTGTTTCCTCTGGACAATATGTCCAAAGTATGAGAGATGAAGCTTAGCCATCCTGGCCTCCAAGGAGCACTCTGGCTGCACTTCTTCCAAAACAGATGTATTGGTTCTTTTGGCAGTCCATGGCACTTTCAGTACTCTCCTCCAACACCACAACTCAAAGGCATAAATTCTTCTACGATCTTCCTTATTCACTGTCCAGCTTTCGCATCCATATGAGGCTATTGAAAACACCATGGCCAGGGTCAGGCGCACCTTAGTCCTCAAGCTGACATCTCTGCTCTTCAATACTTTAAAAAGTTCCTTCCTGTGCAGCAGATTTGCCCAATGCAATACGTCGTCTGATCTCTTGACTGCTGCTTCCGCGAGTGTTGATAGTTGATCCAGGAAGAATGAAGTCCTTGACAACTTCAATCTTTTCTCCATTGATAAGAATGTTGTTTATTGGTCCAGTGGTGAGGATTTTTGTTTTCTTGACATTGAGATGTAATCCATATTGAAGGCTGTGCTCTTTGATCTTCTTAAGTAAACGTTTCAAGTCCTCTTCACTTTCAGCAAGCAAGGTTGTGTCATCTGTATATCACAGGTTGTTGATGAGTCTTCCTCCAATCCTGACGCCACATTTTTCTTCATAGAACCCAGCTTCTCGTATTATTTGCTTAGCATACAGGTTGAATAAGTATGGCGTGTCTCACACCTTTCCCAATTTTAAAACATTCAGTGTTCCCATGTTCTGTTCGAACAACTGCTTCTTGGTCTAGGTACAGATTTCTCAGAAGTATAATTAAGTGTTCTGGAATACTCATACTTCTCAATGTTGCCCATAGCTTGTCGTGATCCACATAATCGAAAGCCTTTGCGTAGTCAATAAAGCACAGGTAAACATCCTTCTGGTATTCTCTGCTTTCAGCCAAGATCCATCAGATATCAGCATTCAACTAGTAACATGGTTACATTCAACTAGTAACATGGAATTCAACTTGTAACATGGTTTTCCAGACACAAATTTATCAACCAATTTCTGACGTCCTACATACACTAATCAGAATGTATAAAATATATAAAAAATCAAAAATAAGAAAATCCACTGTCCAGATTCAAAGCAATGAACAAAATCAGATTGAAACAAGCTGAATCAAGCAGAATGCAAAGTCACTATGATTAATATTAGGTCCCTGAATAGTGCAAATGGTTTGGGCTCGACTGCTAATCCAAAGGTTGGCAATGAGAACACACTAGTAGTACCATGAAAGAAAAGAACTATCAATGTGCTTCTGTAAAGTTAACAGCCAAGAAAACTCTATAGAGTAGTTGTACTATAACACATAGGGTTGCCATGAGTCAAAATCAACTCAACAGCAACAAATGAGACAGACTTTTGACTAACGAACATTATATGTTAACATTAACGAACATTAACTACATTAAGTACATTGGGAGTGCTGCGGCACCATACAATTAAGCACTGGACTGTGAAGCACAAGGTCTGTGATTTGAGCCTGCCAGCTGCTCCATGGGAGAAAGATGAGGCTTTCTGCTTCCGCAAAGATTTAAAGCCTTGGAAACCCTGTACAGGGCTGCTATGAGTTGGAACAGCACTTAACAACAACAACATTAAGTATATTAATCACTTGTAAATCTGCTGCTGTTGTTAAGTGACGTCAAGTCAGTTCCAACCCATAGCGACCCTTTATAGGGTTTCCAAGGAGCAGCTAGTGAGCTAGAACCTCCATCTTTGCAGTCCAAACCAATTTTACAGTCCAGCACATTAACCCACAGTGCCACACTAGGACTCCAAATAAGTCAAATGCAGAAAAAAGAAGAAGAAGAAAAAAAATAAATAAATAGAATCTCATACATAAAAAAAAAAAAAAAAAATCCAAAACAGGTGGGGAAAAAAGTAGTAAGCACACAGAGGGCAAATTAAAAAAAACTAATACCAGGAATCCTAGTGTGGTGCTACAGGGTAAGTTCTAGACTGTTAACCACCAGGTTGGCAGTTCAAATCCACTAGCTGCTCCTTTGAAACCCTATACAGGATCACTGAGTCAGAACTGACTGGATGGCACGTAACAATATAGTACATTTTTTAAAAATTATCTATAATTGAGGAGCGTTCATAGCTCTGTAGTATAAGCAATGGCCTGCTAACCACCAGGTCTGTGGTTTTGAGCCCATCAGCTGCTGCTCCAAGGGAGAAAGATGAAGCTTTCTACTTCCTCAAAGATTTACAGGCTCAGGAACCCTATACAGGGTGGACAGGAGTCAGAAATGACTCAATAGCACTTAACAACAACAACACAACAATAATTAAGGAATCCTGGTGGCATAAGGTGTTAGGCATTGGTAGTTCAAACCCACAAGCTGCTCCTCAGGAGGTACATGAGGCTGTCTGCTCCCACAGATTTATAGTCTTAGAAACACTACAAGGTCACTTTGAGTCACAGTTCTTGGTTTGTTTTTTTTTTTTTAATTTCAGTAATAGCTCTGAATGTACACAGTATAAACATATACAAATAAGTAGCCAGTCCCCGGAGAAGGACATCGTGCTTGGTAAAATGGAGGGTCAGAAAACAGAGAAAGGCCTTCAAAGAGATGGATCTGGTACAGTAGCAGCAGCAATGGGCTCAAACATAAGAATTGTGAAGTTGGTTCAAGATCGGGCAGTGTTTCATTCTGCTGCACACAGGGTCACTGTAAGTCGGAACTTGACTTAACAGCACCCAACCACAACAACCTGAAAAGTACTAAATCCCATCACCATAGGTCTCAAGTGTGTCTGTATATGTTGCATAAGTATTTCAGAGTTTAAAATTTTTTAATAGCAATAAATTGCATTTAATATCTGAATGGAGGTGGTGGTGGTGGTTGTGTGCTACTGAGTCGGCTCTGAGGCGATGTACGGGAATAGAAAGTCTCATCATCTTCCTCCCATGAAATTCAGAATAGGTAGTTTTAATAATTCAATTTTAGTCTTAGAGAATCATATTAATTCTTCTAGACTGAATCCTTAATTTTTGTTTTAGTAGGCACTTTACAGTGGAGTAAAGTACTGGACCAAAAGATTGGTTTCAACCACAAGGTCAGCAATTCAAACTCACCAGCCACTCCTTGGAAACCCTACACAGGGTTGCTTTGAGTCAGAACCAACTCAATGGCACATACAAAAGTTTCTGACTGGTTCCCTTCTTTTGGAAACATGCAATTAATCTCAACAGCAAAGCATAAAATTCTAAAAACAATGTCTAAGACATACATATCTAATAGTTTCTGGAAGATAAAAATTATTTTGCAAAATATAAATCTATTATTTCATAGTAATGTAGTACAGTATAGCTCACAAATACAGGTTAAGAAAACTAATGATATACCTATATCTAAATAACAGGAGCCCTGGCGTGGCACTGTAGGATAAGAACTGGACCACAAGGTCAGTTTGAATTGCAAGGTCTTTGGTTCAAACTCACCAGCTGCTCCTTGGAAATCCTATACAGGGTGGCTATGAGTTGAAACTGACTCAACACTACTTAACAACAACAACTGGAGAAGTATTCCTACTGCAAAGGAAACAAGTTATATACAAAGCTAAGACCTGTGGTAAGTATGTTTTATCGAGATTCTCAAAATGAATTGTTCCTACCTGAAGCATCTAGTTCTTTCAGCAGTCCTTTAGTTCAATATTAGTCAACTTAGAAAAGCAATGTTACTGGGGAAATCTTTCATTTTATTAAATTACATTTACAACCATCCCTCCCCAAAACAATATGTTACTTGATTTTGCTCACCTCTTCTCCTGAAAGGTAATATGCAGCAAGCAGGCCTCCAATAAATCGAATGTTGACTTCAAACACAGACACTTCTGAATTCTGTGAAAACATATATATATATATATATAATTTTATAACTTTCAGAGTATTTTCAATATTTCATTTGTTTCTTCTAAAAACTATGGGAGAAAATGTTATCACTTTCTGCACCTTTGTTCTTCATTCAAATGCAATCTCATCAATTTTACTGAAATTCCTCTGTTATTGTCACTATAGCTTAACTGTCAAAACCAATGGGTTATTTTTAAATACCTTGCATAATCAACATGATTTTATCATAATATTTAATTCTACTGGCTATTTTCTCTCTATTTCTTGAAGTCTGGAATATCATTCTTTCTTTCTACTGGCTCCTTTCCGTCTGTTCTAATAACTATAGTATTGTTTCCATTTTTTCATCTACCTATCTTCATGGATTTAAATCTCTTTCAAGTATATATATACTAAATAAATAAAGGGAGTTGCCACAAAACGATGGAGAAAACAAAATTGGTTCCTAGATAAGAAATTAAGTTGAACACTCATTTCATATATCTAACAAAATTAATTGCAAATTTAGAAATAAATGTAAAAAAAATACTATAAAAAAAGTGAAAATATTTAACTTTCTTAGGAAGGAAGTATATTATAAGCATAAATATAAAATGATTTGAGTTATTTGGACTTCCCCAGAATGCAAATCATCTATGAGGAAAAGAAAAGTCGTGATAAGGATACAAAGTAAATGGAAATCAAATACACTGCTGCTGAGAATAGCCACTGGAAGTTTATAAAAAGTGAAACACACATATACAATATGATTCAGCAATCCCAGGTGACATTCTTACCCAAATATATATCAGGAAAGTAGGTATTGATGTCTAAAATGTTGAAATAAGTCACCAAGCAGTAATTCAAAATTCTAATCCAAGTGAAAACACCCTTTAAAATTGAAGACAAAATAGAAACAAAGATTATCTGCCCAATAAGCTTAAACACTGATTTCTCCTCAGAAATCATGGAGACCAAAAGGCAACAGAACAATCTCTTTAAAGAGTTGATCGGGGGAAAAAAAAAAAAAAAAAACTGTCAACAAAGAATATTGTATCTGGCAAAATGTAATTCAACAATTAGAGCAAAATTAAGTAGATCCAGATAAAAGCTGAAAAAATGGGTAACAATTACACTTACCTAAAAAAGAAATGCTAAAGGGAATCTTTCAAATGGGAAAGAAAGAATAATAGACAGTAATAGACAGTAACTGTCTCACGTAGGGGTGAAGGGAGCAGAATGGGGCAAAACAGAGTAAACAAAACATAATCTAACCATATGTGTCTACAAGAGACACAACTCATTCCCAAAGTCATAAATAGGTTTGTAAAGTTTATGGATCAACTTGGGGAGGCTATGATTTCCAGTGGGCTGGCCTAAACTAAACACTAAACTAGTTGCTGTTCCATAATGTAATCTAATTTGATCATCTTTCATAGTCTACTGCAATGTTACCTATCAATAAGTAGAAAAGGGTGTTTCCTTAGAGTGTTGTCTACCTCCAAACTATAAACTGTTATTTTGGCAAGATTCACTCTCTCCCATTCTGCACTCTTTATCTGAGCTATATCTATCTTGGGATACAAGTCTGTCAAAGTCTTCAGCTGTCACCTAACCTATGGATTTTGGACTTGCCAGTCTAACTCAACAGCACTTAACAACAACAACAATTTTGTGTGCCAGTTTCTTGAAGAAAATCAATCCCTCTATTCCTTCCTCCGTTTTCCTCTCCCATTTTCTTTCGCTATATATGATGCAATATGTGATAACATAATTGGGGCGGGAGGGGGGGGTGAGCATAGGCATAGTCCCCACTTATCCATGTGGTAATACATCCCAAGAACCCCAAGTGGAAGCCTGAAACCTCAAACAGTACTAAAACCAATATACACTTTTTTTTTTTCCTATACAAATATATGACAGGTCGTCAGGGTGCCTGGGCATGCAACGTTAACCTGTCAGACACCAGCAGAGCAAGGCACAAGTATTTTCCAGGCTCATACCCAGCAGAGGAGGAGGAAGTCAGTTTCTAGACAGAGCAGAACGCAAGAAAGATTTCATCAGCCTAGTCAGAATGGTGCATAATTCAAATATTTTGGGGCCACAGTTGTTTCCCTTCAGAACCCAAAGACAGGCTGAAAATGAAATAATAATACCATCCCAAGTAAAATTATAACCAAAAGAGAGCTGGGGTAGTGATTTTAAATACCAGAAAAGAGAGACTTTAAGTCAAAATCTGTTATAAGAGACATTATACAATGAGACTTCAAAAAGTTTGTGGGAAAAAATGGAATTAAAAAATAATGAAATTTATATTGGTCCCTTGTCAAAACAGATAATGAAGCTTTTAAAGTTATTTTGTTCACCAAACAGATATAATGATTAAAAAATATATATGCACCTAACATCAGAACCACAACATAAATGAAGCAGAACTGAAGAGAAAAAGTTTCTCAATAGTTGTTGAAGAATTCAATGCAGTCAGCTTACTGTACCCATGGGTTCCGAATCCAACTGTGATTCAAAAATACTCATCACCAATAAATGAAGTCAATTAAGTAGCCAAAGTAATTTCTCAAAGGTTAAGAGGGAACATAGACTGATATTTACACAGCAAATCAGCACTGGACGGTGAACCACAGGGTCGGCAGTTCAAAACCACCAGCTGCTCCTTGGAGTTGCTGTGAGTCAGGGCAGTCTCATCAGCACTTAACAACAACAACAAGGTATTAGAAATAATCTAGAAGTGACTTAAACACAGGAGGATATGCAAACATTGTATGCAAATATTTCACCATTTTATATAAGAGACATGAGCATCTGCAGATTTTGGTATCCACAGGGAGACATGGAAGCAATCTCCTGCCAATACTGAGGGGTAACTGTACAACTTTCAATAACGGACAGACATTCTAGAATGAGGATGAGTAAGGAAACAGAGGAGATGAGGGACACTGTAAGTAAGATAGACCTAACAGCCATATGTAGAAAATTCTATACAACAACAGCACAATTATACATTCTTCCTCACTGACATTGATAGACCATAAGTTAGGTCATAAAGCAAGTCTCAAGAAATTTAAAAAACTTAACTATGCAAAGTGTTTTCTCTAATCACAATGTAAAGTTAGAAATTAAAAGCAAAAGAGAAACTGGAAAATACACAAATGTGTAAAAATTAAGCACACTGTTTATCTGCCAATGGGTCAATGATGAAATCAATACAGAGATCAGAAAAATACTTTAAAGTTGAATGAAAATGAAAACTCTACATACGAAAACTTATGGAAGGCAGAGAAGGCAGTGCCCGGAGGGAAATTAAGAGCAGTAAACACATATATTAAAAAACAGAAAAGATCAATCACCTAACTTTACAACTTGAGAAACTAAGAGGGAAATAGAGACCAAACCCAAAGATACTAGAAGGAAAACATTTTTACAAGGCCAAAATTGAGATAAATGAAACAAATAATGGAAAGACAATATAGATCCATGAAGCCAGAGCTGTGTGTTTTCTAAACATCAATAAAACTGACAAACCTTTAGTTACATCGACAAAGTGAAAACATACAAATTTCTAAAATCAGATATTAAAATAGGGGCATTACGACTAACTATAGAAACAAAAAGATTCATAAGAGAATAGCATGAGCAATTGTTACTAACAAACTACATAACCCAGATAAATAGACAAATTCCTATAAACATTTACACTTCCTACATTGACTCAGGAGTCCTGTTGGGGTGCTGTAGGGTAAGCACTGACTGCTAACCACAAGACTGGTGATTCAAACACACCTGCTGATCTTCAAAAACACTATACCAGGTCGCTATGAGTTAGAACCAACTTACTGGCACTTAATAACAACACTGACTCAAGCAGAAGTAGAGACTTTAACAAACCCATACATGGTTAAGAGACTGAATCAGTAATCGAGTAATCTTTGCCAATAAAGAAAAGTTTCGAACCAGGTATCACTGGGGAATTTGATCAATATTTATACAAAAAGTGAGTCCTTTTTCAACTTTTCTAAGAAAGAGGGAATACTTTCTAACTCAATCTGTGAAGCAAGTACTACTTTGAAACCAAAGACAAAGACAAAACTTTTACAGACAATTATCGAGTCTTGGTGTAGCACTGCAGGATAATGTACTTGAAACCACTAGGTGGGAGGCTCAAACCCACCAGCCACCCTATACAGGGTTACTATGACAAACTGACTTGAGGGCACTTAACAATAATAACAGTCCCTATGGGAGTCCTGGTATGGTGCTGTTGGTTAATACACTGGACTGCAAAGTTGGTTTGAACTGCAAGGTTGGCAGTTCAAGCTCACCAGCCACTCCTCGGAAACCCTATGCAGGATCGCTATGGGTCAGAACTGACTCAATGGCACTTAATAACAAACAACAACAGTGGAGTCCTGGTGTGGCACTGTAGAGCAAGCACTAGACATCAAGGTCAATTTGAACCATAAGGTGGTGGTTCAAACCCAACAGTCACTCCTTGGAAATCCTACAAAGAGGTCGCTATGAGTTAGAACCAACACTGTGGCACTTAACAGCAGCAACATCCCTTATGTTGCTGTGGCTCCATACAATAAATACAAGGTCAACAGTTCGAGTCCGCCAGCCACTCCATGGGAGAAAGATGAGGCTTCTGCACCTGCAAAGATTCTCAGCTTCAGAAACCCTATGCAAGGTCGCTATGAGTCAGAACTGACTCAACAGCACTTAACAACAAGAGATAAATGAATGACATTCATTTTCAATATTAATACACATAATATTGTTGATAAATAAATACTATACAAAGCAATCTACAGATGCAATGCAATCCTCATAAAAATCTAATAGCTTTCTTTGTAGTAGTTAAAAAAAAAAAGCCAATTCGCAAGATCCCAAATAGCCAAAGCAATCTGAAAGAAAAAAAAACTATGAGCCCCCATACTTCCGGATCTCAAAACATACTATAAAGCTACAGTAACCAAAACATGGTACTGTATAAT